GTTGTTATTTTTCTAAATATTTGAGGTATATCATTAAGTCATTTGTTTGTCTTCTTTCTGATCTTTTAACGTAGGCATTCAGAGATAGAGATTTCCTTGGCAGGATTGCTTTTTGTGTGTCCTAGAGGTTCTGTTGTGTTGTATTTTCATAGTCATTTATTTTAAGACATGTTTTAATTCTTTCTTGATTTCTTATTTAACTTATCATTCAGAAATAAACTGTTAGCTGGGTGGTGATGGTGCACACCTTTAATCCCAGCACTTGGGAGCCAGAGGCAAGTGGATCTCTGTGAGTTCAAGGCCAGCCTGGGCTACAGAGCAAATTCTAGGAAAGGTGCCAAAGCTACACAGAGAAACCTTGTCTTGAAAAAACAAAACAAACAACTAACAAACAAAAAAAGAATTAAATTGTTTAAGCTCCATGAGTTTGCATAATTATTAGAGATATGTTTACTTTCAATTTCCAGTTTTTATTGTATTATGGTCAGAGAGGATGTATATATATATATATATATATAATATAATATTATATTATATTATATTATATTATATTATATTATATTATATTATATTTCAGTCTTGGAATTTGTTAAAAGTTTTGTTTCCAAGGATGTGGTCTATTCTAGAAAAACTTCCATGTACTGCTGCATAGAATGCATATTCTTTGGTTTGGGGTAGAATTTTTCATAGATATTCTTTAAGCCCATTTGATATATAACATGCTTCAATTACCATGTTTCTTGCTTGGTTTTTGTCCTGAGGACCTGTCTGATGAAGAAAGTGGGGCACTGAAATCACCTACTATTGATGGATTGATGTTAATCTGTGTCTTTAATTCCACTTGTACACATTTTATGAAACTGGATGTCCCCAGAGTTTGGCACATATGTTTAAGATTGTACTGTCTTCTTGGCTGTTTCTTTGATTAGAATGAAGTGTCTCTCTTTATCTCTTCTGATTAGATTTAGTTTGAGGATTTTTGTTGTTGTTGTTGTTTTCAGGTATCAGAATATCGAAGCCTGATTGCTTTCTGATTCCCTTTTATTGGATTATTTGTCCAACCTCTCATTCTAATTGGTGTCTCTCTCTAAAGCTGAGTTTCTTGTAGACAACAGATAGATGAATACTGTTTCTTGATCCATTCAGCAAGCCTGTATCTTTTAATTGGAGAATTGAAGGCATTGCATTTAAAGTTATTATTGGAAGGTGTGTGTTGATTGTAGTCATTGCATTGTTGTGTTTATCTCAGTAGTACTTTGTGTTTAGTTATTATAACTTTTTTTTTACACAGTTTCTTGCCTATGTTTCTTCCTCTCTTCAGCCTAAAGTTTTGCTTTCTCTCTTTTTTTTTTTAGGCTTGGTTTTTCTGGATAGAAACTTTTTTTTTAAAGGCTGTTCATATTGTGGGAAGTTTTATTTCTTCTTCAAATATAATAAACCATTTTATTTGGTGTCATAGTCTAGCTTGACAGTTGTGGTCTTTTAGAATTTGAAATGCATTGTTAGAGAATCTTTCAACATGTCTACTCAGAAATCAGCTGTTATTCTAATATTTTTTCCTTTGTGTGTGACTTGTATTTTTCTCTTGAAGCTTTCAATATTCTTTTTTTTTGTTCTGTATACTTAGTGTTTTAACTATGATATGCTGTGAGGAATTTCTTTTCTGGTCTTGTCTATTTCATGTTCTGTGTTCTTTTTCTGTATGTATGGGTGTGGCTTTCTTTATTTTCCATCTATGATCTGGTCTATAACATTGATCTGGAATTCTTGTCCCTCTTTTGTGTTTATAATTCAACAGTTTGGTCTTTTCATAGCATCCTGCTTTTCCCATATGTCCCCTTCTTTCTCTGTATTTTACAATCATATTATGTGATTGCTTGGTCTATTTACTCTGCTTTATAGCCAAGTCATGATACTCAGTCTTCTGCTTGAGTCATTGTACTTTTTCAAAGCTTTACCTTGAATTTTCTAGTTGGATTCTTGCGTTTTTCAATTCTACCTTCATTTCAGCCTGTTCTCTTCAATATTTCTATCTTTTTATTGAACTCAGTTCTCATGTCCTTCATCATTTCAAGCAGTCTTACTTATGTTTGTGTTTTCTTAGACATTACTCAAACATTTATTCTCTTTAAATTAATTTTCTGTAAGTTTGTTGATATACTTTTCTATGCCTTCTTTAAACTTGTTGAATACTCTAATGAAGTTGAGGATTATTCTTTTAAATTATCTGTTCTGGGGTTTATGTAGGTAATTCTCATTGTAGAACATTCCCACAGGAATGATGGATATATGGGGGCTTGGGCACTGCTTTAATCATTTATATTGTTCATATTCTTGTGATGAGATATGGGCATGTTGACTTCTTTCATAAGTTCTGTGTCTGATATGAAGACAACAGGTTGGGACAGATGTCCCAGGATGTACCTGCAGGGTTGTGCCTGATGGTTCAATATGGCTTAGACAGAATAATGTCAAGTGGACACAGGGGGCTGGCATGTAGGATGTGCACTCTGTTCTCAGCCTAGAGTTTGGGGGTGAATATTTGAATTGAGGTAGCCTACCTTTGAAGGGAGGAACAGGCAAATTCACTTGGCTGGACTCTGGCACAAAGTGTGATCTGGCTGGGTGGAAATGTTGAATATGGTATACCAGGGGTATGTAGATTGTGAACAGGCATTGTTGAAGTCTGGGAATTGAGGGTGTTACAAGTATAAGTGGCCAGAGTAGGCTCCAACACTGACAGTTAAGAATTGTTTGATTATTGATTCAAAGAGTTTGTATACATTTTGGGAATCTCAGAAGTGAACTGTGTTGTGAATGTATTATAAGAAGTTTTGTTTTGTTTTTATTTTCTGTATTTTCAGGTAGGACTTATTGATAGATTAGTTGAGGGACTTAAAAGAAAGACAAATAGAGGGATTTGGGTCTGAACAACTGGAAGGATTGGGTGACTTTTTTGTTAGATTCAAGATGTAAGAGATCAGTCATCATTATTCATTTTCAATGTGAGGTTTGTTCAGTATGAGCTCATCAATGAATCACAGATAAGTGGGAGGCCCTCAGTCTGTCTTTCCCTGGGAGCCTGCTCACCTGGAAGCTTTCTCTTTTATCTTACAGTTGAAACTTTAAAGTCTGCTATATGATTGAGCCCATGTGTCATGAAAGAGGAATGGAATCTTCAGTTCCAAGAAGATGGGAAATTCAGAGCATGTACTATGCTAGATGAGAAGGAAAGGGTCTAACTCTAGATATCAGCCAAAGGGAAAATTATGGCAGGAATTTTTCATGATCAGGGACGGTGAAAACCACGGTTTGGTACTACATTACTTCACCTGCTGTTTTGCCTTATCTTAAGTCCCATGTTCAACTTTGCAAGGTGTAAAAATAAAGCACTTTGCTTTCACTATTCTTGAGTCTGTAGTACTCGCATGAAGTGAGGATCATGGCTTCCCACAGGATAGGAGGTTGAGCTGGTTAAGGACAATATTAACTGAATGTACTTCAGTTACTGTTTCAGCTTTCCACCACTGTATCAATGCACCCAAGTTAATCACCTTACAAAGTGAGATAGATTGTTTTGGTTCACAGTTTCAGAGTTTCCTGTCTATTGGAAACTGGCATACAGCTTTAGGCTTTGGTGAGGTAGTGTGTCATGGCACAGGACACAGCAAAACCACTTATCTCTTGTCAGGAAACAAATATTGCAATTTATTTTGTGGGTACCTGATCTGTATCCTGTGATACTTCCCTAGGCTCCACTTCTTAAAGTTCTCACTGCCTTCTAAAACTACTACTCTCTGGATCAAGTCTTCAGCACACGGGTATTGAGGGAAGAGGCATTAACAACTAAATCATGGTGATTGCTACTTGGAAAATTTGAAACAATATGCTCTCCAAGGAATTTCTTTTTAATGATGTATATTTAGCACTAACTTTCCCATAAATGTAATATTTAGTGGTATTTTTCTTTTTCCGGTTTTATGTATATGTGTCTGGTGTGCATGTTTGTATGTGTGTGTGTGTGCATGTTAGCATGTGTGTCATGCCTGTGTGTGCCTGTGCCTGTGGAGGCCTAGGGTTGATGCTAGAAAGCTTTCCACAGCACTTGACCATCTTATTCCTTGCTACAGGTCTCTGAATCAAACCTAGAACTTCTGATATGGCCTGTTTGCTCTGGGGATCCTCTGTGCATTTGGAGGCTGCCACACCCATTCACCCTTTCCTTAAGCTTTGTAAATCCAAACTCCAGTCCTCACCTTTATGCAGCAAGTGTCTTCACATTGAATCATCTCTCCAGTCACAAACAGCTAATGACTCTTTAATGTTGACCTGGTATTGTATTGGCCCTATAACAAAATGTTAGGATTTTGATTTTTGATAATAAATTTTTGACAACATATATTTATTTTCCATAAAATAAAATTTATAGCATAGGTTTTATATGTCCCATATAAACTTAATGAGGATGGTGAACAAACCACCTTCTCCATGTATTGGTAGTTTATTCTTAAGAGTGATCAATGTTGTTAGCAAGATGATATTTTGACTTGGAAAACTGAAATAAATCTTTTATTTAAGCTACAATTTTTTAGTGAATACAGAATTTATACAATAGAAGAGAAGCCTGTTCTGTACAGAACTGAAAATGGTTCATCTTTCTGTGATATTTTCTACCTGTAATTAGGGTGTGAGGAACACTGGATGAGACACCAGTTATATATCCACTCATATTGACTGGAGAAAGGAGCCATTTCCATAGGGCTGGAAAGATAGCTCAGTGATTAAGCAGTTACATTCTTTTCCTTTTTTGTGGTTTTTCCGTGGTATCAATTTCTGTTTCCTTTTATTGAAAATGGACTTTTTTTTCATACAATATATTTTGATTCTGATTCTCCTTCCCCAACTCCTAGATCCTCACCACTTCTCCACACACCCAAATCCACTCTCTTTCTTTCTCTCTCTCATTAGAATTCAAATAGGCGGGAACGAGGAAGGCGCTGAGCTTATACTGAAGCAAGTTCTGAGGACGCAGGTGGCGCCGTGGTTTGAAGAGGGGGTTCCAGGCCCCCGCTTCCAGAGGTGCGAACCTGAAGGTCGACCCAGAAATGGGACGCCGGTCATCAGACACCGAGGAAGAGAGCAGAAGCAAGAGAAAAAGGAAACACCGGAGACGCTCCTCTTCGAGTAGTTCCTCAGATAGGAGGACGTACAGCCGCAAGAAGGGCAGGAGGCGGCCACGGTCCGAGTCCACGTCCTGGTCTAGAGACCGCCAGCCTCGCTCACATTCCTATGAGAGAAGACGCAGGCACAGGTCAAGCAGCAGCTCTTCTTATGGCCCCCGAAGAAAACGAAGTCAAAGTCGATCCAGGGCTCGAGGAAAATCCTATAGAGTTCAAAGGTCTCGGTCCAAAAGCAGAACAAGAAGGTCCAGATCAAGACCTCGTCCACATTCCCACAGTCGAAGCAGTGAAAGGTCCAGTCACAGAAGAACCCGTAGGAGGTCTAGGGAGAGTGAGCGACGGAAAGCCCGGGACAAAGAGAAGAGAGAGAAGGAGAAGGAGAAAGGCAAGGACAAAGAAGTGCACAGCATCAAACGAGGAAATCTGGAAACATCAAAGCTGGATTAGAACATCTGCCACCAGCTGAGCAGGCCAAAGCCAGACTACAGTTGGTTCTTGAAGCTGCTGCAAAAGCTGATGAAGCACTAAAAGCCAAAGAAAGGAATGAAGAAGAAGCAAAGAGAAGAAAAGAGGGAGACCAAGCCACCCTGGTGGAATAAGTAAAAAGAGTTAAAGAAATCGAAGCCTTTGAAAGTGATTCTTTTGTTCAGCAGACATTCAGATCAAGTAAAGAAGTCAAAAAATCAGTAGTAGAACCAAGTGAAGTGAAGCATGTGACTCCAGCATCAGGACCAGCATCAGTAGCTGCTCACCCACCCAGCATCGGAAAGGAAATAGACCCTGACAGCATCCCCATGGCCATCAAGTACCAAGATGACAATTCTCTGGCTCATCCAAATTTATTTATTGAAAAAGCTGAAGCTGAAGAAAAGTGGTTCAAGAGATTAATTGCTCTCCGACAGGAAAGACTAATGGGCAGTCCTGTGGACTGAGGAAGAGACCCACGGTTGAATTGACAGAAGCCTTGAAAATTTAGGTTTTTAAATACCAATATTAACTTTTATTCGTCAAAACAATTTAGCCAGTTACATAGAAAGAAAATCTCATTTCTTCTCTTGTGTTCAACTGAATATTTGTTGGTTCGAATCAAACATTGCAAATAGTAAATCTATTGTAAAAAGGTGTATGTGCATGAACATATATCCTGTTAATAAAGCTAATCATAAAAATGTCAGTGTTGAAGTAAATGAATATTCAGTAGTGTGTCTCATTACAGTTTTTACAAAATCATGTTTTTGACCCAATATTGGAAAATTATACACATATATAAGAGCCATATTATTAAGTATAAGAGTTCATCTCCTATGTATTGTAAAGTCCTTCTTGAATCTCTTATCTCACCTTTCTTAAAATTTTTAGGTATCATAAAAGGTACCCTTTTATGAGATATAAGCAATGACCATGATAGATTTGAACTAAAACTTCTTCTTGTGCCCTGTGGTGTCAAGCCTCTAATCCTAGTCCTCTGGAGGCTTAGGCAGGAGGGTCTCAACTCCAGTCTGCACTCCACAGCTAGTGCTGGGACACTCGGACCACATGGTGGAACCTTGTCTGAAAAAACTTTTAATTAGAGATCAGTTTGTATAAAGTGCTGCAAGCAGAAGCAGTTCTTCCTTTAGAAATCTCATGCCATTGCATCAGTCCCTTTGCACTGCTGTGACAAAAGGCCTGGCCTGACTTCAGAGGGAAGGCTTTTGTCTATGGCTTGAGAAGTATCGGTCCATGGTCAGCTGGTTCCACGGCTTTCAGGCCTGTAGCAGGCAGAAACACAGCAAGAGGGCAAGGCACAGGAAAGCCGCTCACTATCGACTGTCAGGAAGCAAAGAGACCGGAAGAGGCCACAGCATACCCTTCAGAGATATACTCCACTTACCTGCTTCCCATCTGTTCCCTCCCTCCTGGCAGCCCATTCAGCTGTGGACTCATGCTTTAACCCATTGGTGGAGTTACAGTCCTCATGATCCAGTAACTCTCTCAACAGGCAGTGTTGAGCCTCAGTTGCAAGTGTTATAAAGATGTTTGTTTTAAATCCTTGTTTTTATGAATACATTGTCTTGATCTAAGTAGTGCCTGTCTTCCTCAGCTCTCTAAGTAAACATGCTCAGTCTGAAGGCAGATGTGCACAGGCTCACAGTAGTGGGTTCAGGAGGGATTAGTGTTTCTGAAATAGTTTTCTTTTTAATACTTTGTATAATTTGTAAACTGTAAATTCCATCTTAGGAAATATATGTCAAGGAAAGGATATAGCCTGCCAGCTGGCCATAGGGGATCTCCATAATTTTCTCAATGTGGTTGAGGCTCCCCATCTCTACAGCATTGAAGATACTATGGCCTACTTTCTAATCTACCTTCCACTCATATTCCTCGATGACAGGTACACCAAATACAGAGGCTTGAATTAGAATGAAGTTGTATTTTAAAGAAAATGTTTTGTGGAAACAAAATCGAGTCGACATTTGTTGTTTTTTTAAGTGAACAAATAAACTTGGTCCTAAATAAAAAAAAAATCAAATAGGCACCTTAAAAATAATAAAAAATAAGCTAAAGTAAAAACAAATAAACCAGAATAGGACAAAGAAAACAAACAAACAAACAAGAGCCAAGGAAAACTATTTAAGGAATAAACAAAATCCCAGACAAAGAATTGTGAGTGTAAGGTTTCTATTGCTTCACTGAAACACCATGACCAAAGCAACTTGGAGAGGAAAGGGTCTATTTGGCTTACACTTCCATACCACTGTTCATCACTGAAGGAAGTCAAGACAGGAACTCAAATAGGGAAAGAACTTGGAGCCAGGAGCTGATGCAGAGGCCGTGGAGGGGTGCTGATTACTGGCTTGCTCCTCATGGCTTGGTCAGCCTGCTTTCTTATAGAACCCATGACCATCAGCCCAGGGATGGCACCACCCACCAAGGGCTGGGCCTTCCACTATTTGATCACGATTTAAGAAAATTTCCTACAGCTGGATCTTATGGAGACATTTTCTCAATTGAGATTCCCTCTTCTCTGATGACTCTAGCTTGTGTCAAGTTGATATAAAACTAGCCAGTACAGTGAGACAAAAAAATCCTCCAAAAATGTCATCAATTTTGTTTTGTTTTGATCATCTACATGAATCATGCCCTTAAGTGTGGTTTGTTTACTCAGTGAGACTCCATTGGAGAAATGTATTTTGTTTTTCATTTTTGAGTGGTTATCAATTGGAGATAACTTCTGTGTTAAGGACAAGGGCTTGTTTCTACTTCCCTCTTTGCACTGGGACCCTATTTAGCTTAGACACATGCAGGCCCTGTACACACTGCCACAGTCTCTGTGAGTTCGTATGTGCATCAATCAGAACTGTTGTGTCTAGAAAGCCTTATTTCCTTGTTGTCCTCCAGCCCTACTGGCTCTTACACTCCTTCTGTATCCTCTTCCACGGGGTTCCCTGAGGCCTGAAGGGAGGGGTTTGGTGGAGACATCCCACATCAGATTGAGTGTTCCATGGTCTCTCACTCACTACACATTTTCCTTTTGTAGGCCTCTGTATTTGGTCCCATCTATTTCAGGAGGATGATTCTCTGATGATAGCTGAGTAAGATACTGACCTATGAGTACAGCAGAATGTTGGTAGGAGTAATTTTATTTCTATTTTCATTTAGCAGAACAGCAGTGTTTAGTTTTCCCCTAGTACCAGGGCTTGTCTAGTCTCAGATTCTTGACCACCTGAGCAGTGTCAGGCATGGGTTCCATCTCATGGAGTGGGGCTTTAATTCCATTCAGAGAATGGCTGGCTACTCCCACAACCTTTTGTGCCATCAATGTACCAGTGTGCCATGCAGGCAGATCACCATTGGAGATCGCAGTGTTTGTAGCTGGGTTGGTGTCTACCTTTCTCCTCTGGTTGTGTGCAGAGTCCCATCTGGAACAATGAACAGTTTTCAGGAGAGGTGAAGGCTCTAGGTAGTCATGAGCTCGAATTCTCCATGTTCAGTGATCTCACTGTAGGGAGCCGCCATTCTAAGATGGTGCTGACTTCCTGGTAGCCTAACTGTAAACAACTCCATATTTGGCTATGCTCCTAGGACTACGTGTCCTAAGGTCCGTGCATGCGTGAGTATGGTAATTGACTCCATGTCCTCAGCCTATCCCGTGGCTCCCTGTGCTTGCATTCTGGCAGGACCCAATCACAGTACGGCACGTTTGCCTGATTCCTTATATAAGCAGCTGCAATTTAGTTCTCGGGGGCCCCCTCACCTTCAGCTCTCCCTTAATCAAGAGGCGCTCCAATAAAGTGTGATCTGAGAAGAATCCTCGAGTGGTGGTCGTTCTTCCTCGCTGGTCGAGGAGCTCGCCGCAACTGTTCTTGCAGAGGACCAGAGTACGGCTTCCAACACTATGACATGGTTCACAACTACCTATAACTCCAGCTCCAGGGATTCTACTATCCCCTTCTGGCCCCCCAGGCACAACCACTCACACATATCCACAGAGATGTACACACATACACACAGTTGCTGGATAATCCCATAGTAGATGACCCAGGTTTGCCTTTTACACGGCTCCCAGCAATCGTTGCCATCTGTAATAGGTGGAAAATAATCAGTAGCTGTTGAATGAATGAACATATCCATGAGTCGATGAAATTATAACTTCCTGTCCACTCTCAGCATCCAGAAACGCTGTCATTGAACTTCGTTTCTTGGCATTTATAGCAGCCACAACAAGATACAGCTTCTCCCCACATTTCACTGAAGTAGGTGCCATGACTGCTGGCTCACTTGGCGTCTCCCCTATCACTTGTCAAGGAGCTGGAGAGAGGGGGCAAGAGCCCTGGTAGGGAACTGGACAAACAAAAGAGTCCCTTCTCTGAATCTTTTCAAATATATTGAGACAGAGTCTCATTGTACAAGCTGGCCTCAGTTTGTGGTGACCTGCTGACTCGCTCTGAGACTGAGTTTGAGATTACAGGCCGGGCCACCCCACCCCTAGCTGTGTTCTTCCACTCTTGATTCAAGAGTTAAGCTTCTTTGCTGAGCTTCAGCTTGGAGCTGACAGGAAAGCCACATGCTTAATTTACAGATGGTATGCCCAAACTAGTACAGTAGCCCCTCCCTCCCATTCATAATGTCAGTTATTTGACGTCAACTGTGGCCTGGAAATACTAAGTGGAAAAATTCAGATATGAAGAATTTGTAAGCATTCAGTTATTTTGACAGGATGGCGCTGTCTCCCGGCACCCCACCAGGGAGGCACGCCCCTTCTTTGTTCAGCACACCCATACTGGATAGCTCCTGCTCACTGGTCACTTGGTAGCTGTCACAGTTATTGGTGCAATGGTAGGGTGTTAATGTGCTTGTGTGCAAGTTATCTTTACTTCGCTCTTTAAAGACATGATGTAGCCATGCTGGAAATCCAGGCATGCGACGGAGAGCTGTGATGTCTCTGATGTAAGTGAAAAACCTGAAGTTAATACAAGTTTGTGTGTGTGTAAACAATCATAATGTATATGGGACTTTATACTGCCCATTGCTTTAGACATCTGCCCAGGTCCTCAGAGCTCATCCCCGTGAATTAGGAAGGGGTTTTTACATACACAACCTTATAAAGTTCCTTTAGGACCATTCAAGTACAGATCTCTCTCTATTTATATTGTGGGTACTGAGCTAAAGCTAAGAACCTGTGGCAAAGGACAGACTTTGGGGCAGATAGCTCTCATAGATGGCCTCTTGTCTTTGATGTCACATCCTGTCTCCAATGCCACACCACTAACATCTTAGGGCATAAGAAAATGTGAACTACTTAAGTGTTTGCCAGGGCTACCAGGTCAATGAAACAGCCTTGTGTTCTAGGGTGTCTCCACCACCTTGCCTGAACCAGGGCATTCTCTAGCAACCGCAGCTCAGGGTCACTTTAGCAATTGGAAACAGTGACCAAGCAGCGAATTGTTGGCAGGGGAAATCCAGACAGAAGGTAGCTTAAATTGATGGCTCTGTGGAGGCCAAGTGAAT